GGTTGTGACTATGCCAAATTCAGGGCACAAAGCACCAGACACGGCCAAATTATAATACTTGCCTATGACTATTCCCAAGACAAGGAACCAAAACCGGCCAAATGATAATACTTACCTATGACTATTCCCGAATTCAGGGTACAAAGCACCAGACAAGGCCAAATTATAATACTTGGATATGACTATTCCCAATACAAGGAACCAGAAGCGGTCAAATGATAATACTTATCGATGATTATTCCCGAATTCACGGTACAATGCACCAGACAGGGCCAAATTACACTAGTCCCAATACAAGGAACCAAAACCGGCCAAATGATAATGATAATAATAATAATACTTAGCTATGACTATTCCCGAATTCAGGGTACAAAGCACCAGACAAGGCCAAATCATAATACTTACCTATGACTATTCCCAATACACGGAACCAAAACCGGCCAAATGATAATACTTGGTTGTGACTATGCCAAATTCAGGGTACAAAGCACCAGGCACGGCCAAATTATAATACTTAGCTATGACTATTCCCAAATTCAGGGTACAAAGCAACAGACAGGGCCAAATAGCTATGATTATTCCCAATAGGTAAGGGGTCATAGTGTCACATTAATGGCGGTAGTGTTCTCGCCTGCGCCGCAGCATTTGCACGCACGGATAGCAATGTCTGATAGGCCAGGAAAGCCCCCCTGCCCGGCGTGTCCAACTCCAAGACGTGGGGGTTTATGCACACTTTCTCTCTTAAATGTTTTTCTACATTCTCGCCCCCAAGTATCCCTAATGTCACCTGTTACACTTACATTGAGCACCCCCTGCCTGGTGAGGCGCAATAAATCTATTGACGACTCGGCTGGCACCCTCTCGAACGGACAGGCCCGGATGATCCTGAACGTCGCGGTTCGGAACTCGGATCTGCGCCCACGGCTTCCCGTCCTCGACGCTGTATCGTAGACGGCTGGGCACTCCATCTGGCAGAGCGAATTTGTACTCGGGACCATGCTCCGGGCTGCACGACACCTCCTCCAGGCCTGTGTCATGTACAATTTTCAACTTACACTGGGTCATATTACTCACATCCAGCACAGCTTCTCTAGGGATATTTTGGGGATGTGCATCCTGAAGCTCCGAGGCACCTGACACCGCTGCTTTGTCGGGATCTTCGATAAGCTCGCCAAGTCCAGCAAGTTCTGCTAGTTCCCGTGGAAGATCCGTCCAGATGTACCGCGGGCCTCTGATCTTCACCGAGTCGCTCACATCCTCGTGCGGCACCACCCGTGGAGCCGTGTAGAACAACAGCCGATCGTGCGCTGTTACTACTTGACACCCCGTGCTGCCGTCAACCATCGCAAAGGCCAACGATGGGTGTGCGTTTCCCACCAAGCCAAACGAGACCCTCGGAGCAAGGGCACCGCCGTAAGTTCCAGCAGATCTTGTGACTTTCGCGGCGCCCCCAGATTGTAGGAACCTATTGAGCACCGCAGTATGCGTACTTACGCCAACATTCCCCTTCTGGTCCGCGTCAATGAGCCCGAATGCCAAGAACGATGGGTACACCTCGTCAATGTTGGCCAGCCGTCCGAAAACGGCGCAACCGAAAGATGAGCTTCAGGCCCCGCGACCCTTGGCTTTCTTGCTCTTGCCGTAGTCCCCCGACACTGCTTCGAAGAACGCCTTGACAGTTAGACCCCTTCACCATCTTCGTTTCATTCGTTAACGTACATGAAAACAGTGTTTGGCCCAATGATAATACTTATCTATGATTATTCCTAAATTCAGGGTACAAAGCACCAGACAAGGCCAAATTATAATACTTGGATATGACTATTCCCAATACACGGAACCAAAACCGGCCAAATGATAATACTTAGCTATGACTATTCCCGAATTCAGGGTACAAAGCACCAGACAAGGCCAAATCATAATACTTAGCTATGACTATTCCCAATACAAGGAACCAGAAGCGGCCAAATGATAATACTTAGCTATGACTATTCCCAAATTCAGGGTACAAAGCAACAGACAGGGCCAAATTACAATACTTAGCTATGACTATTCCCAATACAAGGAACCAGAAGCGGCCAAATGATAATACTTAGCTATGACTATTCCCGAATTCAGGGTACAAAGCACCCGACAGGGCCAAATCATAACACTTAGCTATGATTATTCCCAATAGGTAAGCTCCGAGCGACTGGCCACTTCGGTACGGTATATGCAAAACAAAAACATACATCCAAGCACTGGGAAACTGAAAAGTACGTTTACGTTGCGAGATTACACCCAAAATACGGCTTTAAACAGTCGAGGCAGACCTACTACATCCTACGTGATCAAGATCCCCAATGCCACAGCGCCTTCGGCTTCCCGCGCAGTACTGTCCGTCGCATGATCTCCCGGTCACTCAAGAAAGACATTGTTGATTGCGCCGAACGGCCCTCAAGTCCGTAGCCCTTTGCCATGAACTCCTCCAACTTCTGGCCTGTTAGCGGTTGCTTGACAGGCACTGCAGCCTCAGGCATCTTGGGTTTCTCCCTCTCAGGTTGCGTAGCAGGAAATGAGGCCATGGACTCCTTAGGCAAGTGGCAGCGACTAGCCACCTGTGCCAAAAAGTCATCCGGAGGAGCAAGGACTGCGCAGGGCTTGACTCCCTCGTCTTCCTGCTTGCCCCAAATGTTACGTATCTGCAAGAGCATCTGTAGCAACTTCCATGCGCGACACACGTGCCGCTCAGCAATGACCTCGATGGTGGAATCTCATATTCTGTTTCTGCACGCTACGCAAATTGCCCCTAAGCCCACAGCACAAAGGCTTTTGAGGACCCAGCTACTTGTCGTTAGGCACTTGCAGAACTTAAACACGTGGACACTAAATGTATCCGAAAAGCTTGGCCAGCGTTGGCTCCCTGTTCTGCACAGCTGTCCACAAACACGTCGAAGATGGCCATCAGGGCGCTCAGTATGCCGAGGTGCCAGGGGGCGATGCTCATCCGTGTTGCCAAGCCGTCGCTGCCAACCTGTTCCGGGACCCTTTACCCCGAACCCTTAGCCGCATCGCGTTTCGAGACAGCATACGATGGTACAGAGGTTATAAAGCAAAGGCTAAAAGAAGGCCCGGCGCCAGACGATGTTACTTAGCTATAACTATTGCCAAATTCAGGGTACAAAGCAGCAGACAGGGCCAAATCATAATACTTACATATGACTATTCCCAATACAAGGAACCAGAAGCGGCCAAATGATAATACTTACCTATGACTATTCCCGAAGTCAGGGTACAAAGCACCAGACAGGGGCATTCAGGGTACAAAGCACCAGACAAGGCCAAATCATAACACTTAGCTATGACTATTCCCAATACACGGAACCAAAACCGGCCAAATGATAATACTTGGTTGTGACTATGCCAAATTCAGGG